GGCAGTGATATGGAATCCCAAATTGGGAAGCTCTGCCAGAGGAAAATAAAAAAGAGACAAATGATATGAAAGGAGATGGTAGATCGAGAGAACAGAAAACAGAGCAATGATCAAACTAATATAAAAATTCTCATGAGCAACGATCTCACAGGTTGTATCATCTTACTACAATGCAGTTAAACTAGACTTTTGAGTAAATGTTTAATGAAAGAGGAAACTTGGCAATTAACACCAGTGGTACTGAGCCAAAATGTTAGGGCTGTACTCATGATCTCTTGTGTTCTGGGGTTATCGTAAAAACAAATCTCATAGTTACCAAAATTGTCCATTTGGCTATTTTCTTATTCATTTGTAACCTCTTAGGAGCAGCACAGGAAAGTTTCCCTTAAGTTTATCTTCAAGTGTCTATTTTGGACCAATAATGATATAGCTCCATAGTACACCCTTCCTCCTAGCATAGCACTATGCACTTTCTTCCTTTTTTCTTTTTTTAATTCTCACCCAAGGATATGTTTTATTGATTTAGAGAGAGAGAAAGAGAGAAAGAAACATCGATGTGAGAGTGAAACATCAATTGGTTGCCTTCTGTGCTCTCCTGGACCGAGGTACGTGCCCTGACCCGGAATCAAATCTGGGACCTTTTGGGGAATGGGACGACTCTCCAACTAACCGAGCCACCCAGCCAGGCCTTCTTCCATTTTTGACATTCTTAAAAAACACTTTGATAAACACCCAAATCAAAAGATACAGTTGAGAGAGAGGGAGTAGGAATGGTTGGAGGACACATTATCTGAGAAGAAGATGAATCTGCTTGTTCTATATCATTTGTTTCTGTCCTGGGTGGTGCTTCCCATTTTCTTCCTACTCTGTCTTAGTCTGCTTGGGCTGCCATGACAAAACAGCATAGAGTTGGTATGTTAAACAACAGGCGTTATTTTCTCACAGTTCTGGAGGCTGGAAGTCTAAGATCAAGGTGCCAGCTAGTTTGGGTTCCAGTGAGGCCTCTCTTCCCGACCTGCAAATGGCTACCTTCTTTTGTGTCCTCACATGGCCTCTCCTCCCTGTGTGTGTACAGAGAAAAAGAAAGATTTCTCTCTCTTCCTCTTGTTATAAGGTCTCCAATCATACGCTTTTATGATCTCATTTAAATTTAATTACCTCCTAAAAGCTCTACCTCAGCATATGAGTCACATTGTGAATTAGGGCTTCAACATCCCAATTTAGGGGGAATATAACTTAGTCCATAGCATGCCCATAAGTAAGCATCAAATTACCTCATTTCTTAGTATGCTGGCTCAGACCAACAGCATCCTAACTCAATAAAAAAAAAGATGTCCTGCTCTGGCCCGTGTGGCTCAGTTGGTTGAGCATTGTCCCGTGTACCCAAAGGGTGCCAGTTCGATTCCTGGTCAGAGCACATACCCAGGTTGCCATACCCAGGAGGCAGCTGATTGATGTTTCTCTCTCACATCGATGATTTTCTCTCTCTCCCTCACCCTTCTTCTCTCTAAAAAAAAAAAATCAATAAAACATATTTTGAAAATTAAAAAAGAAAAAGATGTCTCAGGACAAGAGCTGAGTGACAACCACAATGACTCACTGGGGGCAGCGGTGGGGGTGGAAGTAGACCTAGTGGGTTCTGCAGTGTCCACTGTGGGCCCCACATATCAACCTATTTCCTTTTACAACCTTATCAAGAGAAAGAAAGACAGAGTTAGACATGTTTTTCTTAATTTATACTACCAGTTATTTAAAACAGTAGAAAATGATTGGGGAACTAACCCATAAGTACAAACTGGAATAGAGCTCCAAGAACTATTATGACCAATCTGAAAACAATTGGCATAAAATAGGTTAGTATCAATCATGACACTAGAATGATTGTTCTTGACAGAAAATAAATTTACTTTTAAAGTTGTTTAACAAATGTATGAATGATTTCATGTTACTAAGACTCTGATTTTTACATATGAATTCCTTCAATAAGCTGAGGATGATATATTTTAAATATTTGTTTCTTTTTGTGTTTATGATGAAGTTTCAAGAAGGGATGGAAATGATAGTTTGGCCAACTTCAAAATCCCTAAGAATATTCATCTAACTGTGAAGATTGAAGTTGGCCGAACTATGCTTGACTTCTGAAGTAATTGAATACTCTTTCTTTTTAAAGACTGTAATTTGTTAGAGCAGTTATAGGTTCACAGCAAAATTAAGAGGAAGCTACAGAGATTTTCCATATACCCCTGGTCCCCACACATGCATAGATTCCCCCATTATTGATAACAGTGGCCAGAGTGGTACATTTATTACAATTGATGAACGAACATTGACACATCCTAATTGCCCAAAGACCATAGTTTAAGTTAGGAGTCACTCTTGATGCCGTATATTCTATGGGTTTGGACAAGTGTGTAATGACATGTATCCACCATTATATTGTCATACGGAGCATTGTTTCACTGTCCTAAAATCTGTGCTCTGCCCATTCATTTTGTCCCTCCCCTAGCAATACCTGATCTTTTTTACTGACTCCATAGTTTTGCCTTTTCCAGGATGTCATATAGTTGAAATCATCCTGTATGTAGCATTTTCAGATCGGCTTCTTTCACTTAGTCATATGCATTTAAGTTTCCTTTCTATTCCTTCATGGCTTGATAGCTCATTTCTTTTTAGCCCTGAATAATATTCCGTTGTCTGGATCTACCTACAGAAGGACATCTTGGTGGCTTCCAAGTTTTAACAGTTATGAATAATGCTTCTATAAATATTCTTGGGCAGGTTTTTGTGTGGACATAAGTTTTCAACTCCTTTGGGTAAATACCAAAGAGCATTATTCCTGGATCATATGGTAAGAGTATATTTAGTTTTTGAGAAACAGCCAAATTGTCTTCCAAGGCAGCTGTGCCATTTTGCATCCCACCAGCAATGAATGAGAGTTCCTGTAGCTCCACATCCCTATCAGCATTTGGGGTTATCAGGGTTCCAGATTTTGGCTGTTCTAATAGGTGTGTAGTGGTATCTCATGGTTGTTTTGACATCCCTCTTTTAAATATTAATGTTACAGATAACTTTTAGTGGTTGAGAAGACTAAAAGTTATTATTTGAGGGGGAAATATGGTTGATTTAATAAAACTCCTGAATAATTTGATGTCTAAACAACTGAAAAAATGAACTAAAAAGGTCACATAGAAACAAACAAATGTAAGGGTTTAAACAATATTACACTCTTAGTTTCTAAGCATTCTTAAAGTTTTCTTAATAGTTTCATCAGTAAATATCAGATAAAGATGATAATAATATCTATTTAAATAATTAAAACTATTATTTAAATAGATATTACTTAAATATCTATTTAATACTATTTCCAGTTAAAGCTAAAAGCCAGAGCAACTATTAAGATAATCAATGTAAATATTCCTGTGAAAGAAGAAAAAGAAAATATCAATGAACAAATAACAAAAAATCCAGCTGCTATAAAATTACTGAAAATCCCAGAGTCTCATTATCATTTGACATAAATTCTTACAGACTTATTTATTAACAAAGAACTGCTAAAATGAGTATTTTCTCTTCATCTGCAAATGGAATCGGAATTAGTCGAAACAGGGAGAGGAAATAAAGAGAGTTTTCAGGCTGTTTTAGTTTTTAGAGCTGTTTTATCAATGGTTTGTATTTTATAGTGTGTGTATGTGTGTGCCTGTAAGATAATTCAATTGTGCAGTTTATTTGGTGATTTGATAAAAAGCTTTGGTTTCTCATTGCATTCCTTATTTTGTAGGCGTAGAAGCATGTAGTAGAGGCAGGATTGGATCAGAAGTGGTGCTGGATTTTCTCGATGTGACTGTGATCTGTCAAGAGTTCTAGTTTCTTTATCTGAAATGAAGAGTTTGAACATGGATGATTTTTGAGATCTTTTAGGGAACACAGATTCTCTGGTTATTCAGCTACTCATGGCACTCCCTATACTTTACCAAAGCCCTTCACTCTACTTCCATGACTAACTAATGAGCAGCCACTAAAAATGAAACTGCTGTTTTGAGATCCCAGACCCAGGGCTCAACGGTGCGTGAAAGCAATGATGTTGCAAGGTCACCGGGCTTGGGGGACTCAGGCAGTTCTGTGTCAGAGCGCTGTAAGGCCAGAATAGTCTAGAAAGTCCTCCAAGGCCTGCTGTGTTTGGTATGTAACCATGTTTGTTCTCAATATATCTAATAATAGATCTTTGATTTTTTTTTTTTTAGGCCACAACATATATATCTTTAAAAAAACCCACCAACCTAAAAGACGGGTTTTCCTTACACGAAAGTAAAATGTGTTTCACATTTCATGTGTTGGCCTTGGTCCAAATTAAATAATCTGGTAAAGTCATTAAAGGAATTTAAGACTTTAAGTACTGTTCCTCATTGTTGCTCTTCTCTGGGTAAGCTTTACTACCTAAAAGCTTATTTTAAAAGAGTTTATTTGGGTACAAAAGTGCCATGAATTCTTGTTGCTTAACTGCAAATTTTGTCAGATGTTCTACTTCTCCGTCTACCCCAACTTCTTGCTTCTTGATCTTGAAGGAATGTTTGGTAATTGGTCAGCTACTCTCATGTTTTTTGGTCTAAGACAGTTTCTCAGAGACAAACCCAGAGCCTAATAAGGATATTTTGTCTTTAAACTGTTGTGACTTATCTTTTGTATGTTAAAATCCAGCAAAACTACTGAGTTAGAACTGAAGCATGGAAAATCCTCTGCCCCCTCCCTGGTGGTAGGGATGACTTCTTGTCCTAGACTCGAGAATGGACTGGGGATGGGAAACAGATTATTCTTATCAAACTTACCAATTACAGTGGACATTTTAACAGTTATCCGCATAGGGATATGCCTCATTTATGTCTTTTAGGGTGTAATGGTATAATTAATGATAGACAATTGTAACCAGATGGCGAGGGGTATGCAGGATTAGAGTTGCAGTTTATCTTCATTGTGCTCTAATACATGTTTTTCTTTGCCTGCAGCTGAGTGGTATCTTGATCTTGGCATTGGCAATTTGGATACGAGTAAACAAACATGAGCAAGAGGTAAATAAATAAATACAAGCTTCTCCAATACCAAACTAGATTATTTTTCCTAAATGATGAAAGGAATGACAGTAAGTATTTCCGTAGCATTTTCCTTAACTGCCTCCTATAATTATTTGCATTGGTAAGTGATTTTAAAATTTAATTCAATTTAATTAATCAAAAGTACTTACGATGTGACTGACTGTGTTAGGCACGGGTCAATTTTTCTGGAGAAAGGAGATGTTATTCTAAAAATAGGAAGATTGGGATGAACGTGGAGGTGGGAAGGGGTCCCGGTGGGAGCTGGCCGCTTCTGTTATTTGCTTCAGGTCAGCCTGAAGTGTAGCTGGGGGACATGACCACCTTTCCACCTCACCAAGAACAATTTTTGTAGCGTAAGGTATTGACAGTAATTTGGCTTAGCCCGAGGTGGGGTGGTGGGCCGAAAGGAAAGGAGGTAAGTTCTCGTGGAGATTTTGAATCTGTTTTAAAGGCAGCGGTGTAGAAGATGGTTGCCCATTACCGGTGGCAATGGCAGTGAGCGTAACTCCTTGTAACGGGAAGGGGCTGGCCCGCTGCTGTGGCTCAGCGGGTGCCTGGGGGTGCCCAGCGCTCCGTGCAGGTCGGATCCGCACGGCCTCCTTCCCCGCCGCACACTGTGCCCTGACCTGTGGCAAAGCTCCCACCAGGATTTCCGCAGGTCTGGAGGACGTTTCGTTCACACATTCAGTTCTGGCTTCAGTCTCCGGGCTCCACAGGTGCTGTTTCTGTTCCACGCCGCAGTGTGGCAAGTGGGGAAGGTGCGGGTGCGGGAGGGCTGTGTTATTAGTTCACGCAGCACCTCGCCGGCACCATTTCCCGGTTCCCCGCTTCCATCCTCCCCCTCCTTCTCAGGGGCCGCTGCGCCCTTCCAATTACTATTCTGCCCGCACCCGGGGCAGTTTTCTTGTTCTTTGTTTTCTCTGGGCTCCTGCCACAGCTCAGGGTCACCTTATCTACTGCTGGGGCCTTTCCTTTCCAAAGCGCTTTACCAAAAAGTTTTCTCTCTAAGAGCAGTGCTGACGCTCATTTGATAATTATTAAGTCATTAATAAGCTGGCAATTAAGGTAATGCATTTTAAATGAATTAATTTATTCTTATTGTTTAATTTTTCAATTATAGTTGACATTCAATATTATATTAGTTTCAGGTGTATAGCATAGTGGGTAGACATTTATATAAATTATGAAGTGATCCCAAAGTAAGTCTAGGATCCACCTGACGCCATACATAGTTGTTACAATACTATTGACTATATTCTTTATTAATTCATTATACCGTGGTACAGCTAAATGCCTTTGGACATAGCCTAGTTGAAAAAAAGATTAAAAGGAAATTAACACTTGTTCTGAATGGGTGGCTTTTCTA